TTATGTTAATTGTTTACAATATATTGTTTCACTGTACTGGACATCTTTATTTGAGAAATACCGTATTCCTCAAACCATTTCTAAATAAAAGACAAAAGGAGTCTTTTAAATGTGTTTCATATTCGAATATTTACCTGAAAAAAAAAACGGTATTGGAAACCCAACACCAAAACTAATTTGATAATCGTGATAGCTTAAACTTTTCTATTTTCAATTTTCCTCATTTACGTAATAATTAACACGTGCAGAAAGCTTAAGTCTATGTAGTTTATGCCATTCAGTGGATACAATTCACAAGAGCATGCTTTACACACGAACAATTTCTAAAAACTAGAAAATGTTATTGACAAATAAGGCACCTTTGTTTTCCTTCAAACTTTTTTTAATGATTTCACAAGCCTGATTAATGTTTCTTTATTAATCATATAAAACAAAGATGCAAATGAAAACAGTGTTCAAAACATATATGATTGCGCCCATGTGAAAAGGGTCCTTATGGCAATTTTTATGCATTTTGAGTTTTTCATGGATTGTGATAGAGTAAGGTTAGAAGTTATCAAATATGAATTTTTATGGTCCTATGTCTACTCTAAGTAGGTTTTTTCTTCATTTTTATCAAATATACTTTAACAGGATAATAATGACGTCATGTTTTTCAACAACGTAAAACGTTTTCAGAGTGAACGTTAAATGATTTCTTCTGTAATTTTACTACGGTGAACAATACATGTACTTGTATAATATTTATTATTTTTCCATGCACATTATTTTTATCTCATTGTCTCTTTTAATTATTAATAATTATTTAATAGTTATATATATTATGGATTCGTTACTGGCGTATAGTATTATGAGTGAGTGTTTTTCATTTCACTTTTCTATGACACCAGGGGGAGACCTGAACAGCGGGCAACATCTATTCATTTTTTTTTTAAACAATTATTTTCTCAAACAAATATTTACTGCTAATCCATGCAAGAGTCATTTGATAAGCCTGTAGCATTCATTTGAAAATTATTTTAATCTAAACATTGCTCTCGATAGGTCAAGATCTCAGCATAAACGATACATCTTTAGTTACCATCTATGTGAAAATTAATTTTTTTTAAATTACAACATTACGCATCTAAATGCTATTGCAAAGTGAAAAGTTATTTGATTGTTCTTTCTTTCCAAATTTTATATAAAGACAGAAAAATTGTGAAGTGTGGTAACATGTAACATGTAATTACGATACACAATAGATAGACAGTAAATAAAAAGGAAATTCGGTTGATTCCCTGCATCTATAAGGTTGTCTGTCTGCATTGGGTCAATAATGACACTGTTTGTTTGAAAATATAAAGGATATACAAAATATTTTTCAGTCTAGCAGTAAAAATATTTTAATATTAACCAATCAAAAGGTGGAAATTTTACAAACAAATGAATGAGTTATAACCCGCAATCATTTACACAATAGATAAACCCAGGATTAATATTTGTAGGATTATGTGTATGTTGGTGAAAGGGGGGGGGGTAAAAATCTAAATGGCAGAAACTTACAATATCTTGCGAACACGAGTTAAAATAAATAATTTTTTTTACTTCAAAAGTTTTAGGTGCACCCAGTATCATTAACCCTACAACTTGCAGATTCACTTTTTTATTTAGGTTTGAAATAATGCTGCCTTTTATTCTTCATTTTATATTTGTACCTTTAATTCTGATCATTTCCATTTTCAAAATCGCACAGTGATCATAAACACTATGAGCCTGGAACTGAATTGCTATGAATTCAGTATTGTTAATCATGTATATAATGATACCCTAAAATTAAAAAAAATCTGGTTTCATTTTATGAAATGGATGGTTTTAGAAGCACACCCATAGAATTAAATTAAAAATTTACGATTTATATGTATAGCTTTTGTTGGGGTAGGGGTGGGTTAAAGATTAATAACATGTAATTGTTTATGTCTAAATATACAGTCAGTTGAATATGACTGTTTTGTATAATATATTTCCTGACAATTGTCTGTGAACTTGCTGAGCTTTGAAATTTCAGATTTTTGTAGGGATGTAAACATCTTAGAAAATCATCATATTACTTATGACCTAATTTAAAAAAAATCCCCTTCATTCTAATGTTGTTTTCTAATTTTATTCTATAAAGTGAGTTTTAAAGAGTATGAATTCTATTCTGGTCCCGTGCCCAGGGACGTAGCAACAGGGGGGTAGGGGGGCCTGGCCCTTCATTTTTTTTCCCAACCTTACTAATACTATAGGAATTGATAATTGAAAGTCTGGTTCCCCCCCCTCACTATTAGTGATGTACGGAAAACGTAGTATAAAAGTTGGCCTCTAACCACCCCCCCCCCCTCCCCACGAAATAGGATTTTCGACTTTGCGCAACACTAACCTTTTTTTTTTTTTGCTTTTCAACTTTTCCAGGGAAGTAAAAAAAATTCTCTGGCTGCCCCCCCGTTCAAAAACGACGCTACGTGCCTGGTGCCAGAAGCTTGGATAGGCTAAGCCTTGTAAAGCCTACATGTTACGGAAATATATAAGGACACCCCCCCCCCATCCCCTGTACTGCGGCCAAAATAAAACAAAATGCAAGCGTATTGTTGCGGTTTTATGTCATGTATTTTCAGCATTGAATTTTATTTTCTGTTAGCATTTACATGTAGAAATAAAACCCGACCCTGAACTTTTAAGGATTCTTTTATCAACCAAAACAAATAAGATCATGTTTGAGCATATTTAATAATATTTATCCATAATTTGATGGCAGGTTAAACAATACAATTATATTATTCCACACTGATAACTGCAATGAGATTATAAGTTCAGTGATGATTGAGTTTTTAGCAAGATAATTAATCTGTTAAGAGACATTCAATGCTGATCAAGCTTTTATGAAAGTATGAAAGAGAAAGTTCGTCATGGCTTAAAGAATTAATTTGCAGGTATAATGCTTAAAACATTTGAACTCCGTATGAAAAAACAACAACAACACGTAAGTACCAAAGAGTTACATGTATATTAAACTTGGAGATCTTGAAAATAAATAGCTATACATGTATATATAGTTTAGAGAACAAAAATGATATTTTCTTTCATTTATTATTTCATTTGTTTTGAAAACTCATCTCTTTCAATAGAGTTTTACATTTCTCAATATTAGATAAATAGATTCAATATAAATATTTTTATCTACCCTTAATCCTCTCTCTCTAGATCATCATATTTACTTGACCAGTTCTATTAAAGTTAGAACATTAAGAACATTTTTTTTTATTCGGATGTTTTTTTGCTTGTTTTAATTTCTCTAAATTGAAGTGTCTTTGTGCAACAAGAATATAAGACAAAACAACATTTTTAAATTATAATCTATTTAATTATGATTATAAGGTAGACGCTTTACATGTTTATTATTTTTTTAAAAAACGAAATTCGTCATGAAATTATTTCATGCAAAAAAAGCTATAGATAAGAGACTTGAAAAAAATTCAAGTCTGTTCAATTTTGCAGTTTTCTTTTTTTCTTCTTTGTTTTTCCTTTTTCTACATTAACCTTATTCTCAAAGTACAATATTTTTTTTATTTAAAAATTCATAATTATGCTGACGATTAAAAGTTTTTTTATTTGGTCATAAAATATCTCTTTTATAATCCGGGAGAAAATGATGCGAACATGCAGCTGAATGTCCCTGTCTGGTACCCCTGTTACATCGATTGTTGACATCAGAGTTATCTTTCCTATTTTTATTTATAGAAAATACAAATCTTGACAATCGTTCTTACACATTCTTGCTAGATTTGTAAAAAACATGGAAGATGTATGTTTAGTTTCAACATTAGAACAAACAATTTAACAAAAGATTTAGCAGTATGCACCGATGAATCAATGTTTACATGTGATCGACGCGATCGCGATGTATATATTTTGAGAGTGGTGGAGCGGATCTCAAAGAAGTAGGAAGACAATTTTCCTTTGCAATATTTTATTTACGATATACCCTGTCTAAGATGTATTCTAAAAGTGGTATAAATATGTAAATAAAATTTATCTAGAGTATAAAGGTTCAATATGCTATCAGAAAACACCTTGTCTACAGCTTCTATATATTTAATTACGCATGTAGGAAAACTATTGGTATTAAAGAGACGTATTTAATAATGTTTGTTAAGAAACCAGTTCTAAATGTTTATATTTATATCTATTAAAATCAGTGGATTAGGAGATTCAGATATTGATTGAATTAATTTATAAATGAAAATAAATTCCACATGTTGGAAACAGCGATAAAAACTCTGGATGCGTCAAACGTCAAAACACGTGGTTAAAAAAAATCTGCGTCGAAGTTCACCGTCAGTCTGCAACGTCACATCTTTATGACGTTATTTCTCTGTTTTAGCAAAAATGCCATAAGGACCCTTTTGTCATGGGCGCAATCATATAGGAACAAAATCTATACGCTCACCAGAAAAGATTTTAGCTCATCTGGGCCAAATTCTAAGTTTTAATGAATTTCATTTCTGATCAAAGAGAATCCGGCGTCCGTCTGTCGTCCTTCCGTCTGTCATCCAAAGGGAGATTGAGAATGTTCACAGGCAGTGCCACATTATTTATTAAAGGGAGATAATTTAAAATTCGTGAGAATTTGGTGACATCTTTTTTAAAAAAAAGATAAAACTTAAATTAAAACATCATTCTAACTTATAGTAACAAAAGTTGTTACTACCCATGTTCAATACCGAATGATTTGTGCTCCTTCCTAGCCAGTGTGCTCAGTTTAGGAATCTTTCCCGTTGGCTTCTTATTGAAAATCTTAACTAAAACCCTACTTTGGCGGAAAATCTGTTGTATGGTGAAGTTTCCTCATAGGGAGAGAACAATGGTTTTATTTATTAGTCAGCTATCTCGGGAGAGAAAAAAAAAACTACTATCATAGAACTTTGCTATATATTATAAGATAGTTTCATTGTTTTGTCTTAATTCAAATTTATTCAATTTTAATGTGGTTAATAGTCAATTAAGTTTTGCGTCATTTAAAATTGAAGAAAAACGCGTTAAAGCAGCAAAACAAAGAAAATTTCTTTTGCTATTGGAGTCTTTAATCCGCAAGTACTCACTTCTACGAGGCAAAAAAGGCATTTCCTCTTCTTCACTTCCTGAAATTATCATAAAAAAAGTAAAAGCTGTTGTATAGTATTTGCAGGTAATGTAAAACTGAATAGAATTTAAAATAATGTTATTAGTAATATGACGGTTCAGGAATCTTATAATTAATGTTTGTTGCATGGAGAATAAGGGACGATAATATCAGGTTTCATTACTGTCTCGATATATTGCCTGTTTCAAAAAGATACAAAGCCTGTGGACGCTAATGATAGAACTTTCCACAGCAAAATTTTGAAAGGAGATTTACAATAGTTACACGTAGTGGAATTATAATAATCCTTCGTCAATTTATGTTTGATTACCCGTGTAGGCAAGAATTTCACAATTTTTAATATAGCAAATTCATTTTTGGATATTAATATTAAATAAAGAATAAAAGTCATATTAACCAAACTCTTAATAGATCCATTTACAATATTATTTGCATTGAAATCCGCTGTTCATGACATTTTGAAATCATACAAACAACATACAAGCAAGACTAGTTTGAATCTTTACTTAAGGTAATTCCACCCTCCTAGGTCTTTGCAAAAACGGTAATTAGTTTAAATTCCTACCTAATAGAACAATATTTATTGGAAGAATGCTTTACAATAGGTGTAATGATAAATACTGTTAAGTAAAAGAATTTTAAAAATGCATATTATCTTTATTTAATCAATTATTTAATCTTTAAGAAATGTTTACAAGGTCAATAACTCATTTTAAGGTCTTTCTATTCAGGCATTTGCTTTTTTGTACTTCTGATGTAAAATAGTTTTCCTGATATTGACAACTAAACTGTATCATATGTAGGAAGTATTAAGGAATATTCAGCATCAGAATAATGCATTTTAACCAGTTTTTAAAAATTTTTCATAATACTATTAGCAAAAAATGTCCGATATTTTATGTTGACATACACTTCTGCTTATCTATGTTTCGCATCTTAAATAATATGGTGACCTATACATTTTTGGCAATAATTAGAAAATTTAAAGTATATTAAATGAAAATATATGCAGTTTTTGTACTTTGAACCATTAAAATTGTGAGGGTGGAAACACCTTATTATGACAACAGGAAATCTTAGCAAGATAATTGTATGATGTAGCAAAAGTGGACATTGATTGATTGTATATTGTTTAATATCCCATTGGAGAATTTTTTTACTTATACAGAAACGTCACCGTATACCGATGAAGGGCATCAAATTTTGAACTAAACATGTACTCCGCAATCGAGGCCATTGAGCAGTGAGGGTTCTTTATCGTGCCAACGCCTACCGCGACCGGGATCTAAATGTTTAGGTCTTATCTGAAAGACCCGTGACTTTCACTTTGATCACTTGGCGAAGGAACAGTCACTACCTATGTTAACGTCTTAGGTTTGAGGGGGCGCCTCGAACGAGAAATTAACCAGGGATTCGCGATCAAGAAGCAAAGGCTCTACCACTAGGCATCTGTGACATTGAGAAACAGTGACGTCATGCGACTAAATGGCGACGGCGCCGGGTTAACATGTAATATCTTTTTATTATGCCGGCCAGAAATAAGGCTTTGGCATATAGTGTTTTTCATGTCTGTTTTCCGTCCTTCTCTCCTTCCGTCTGTCCTTCGGTCACACTTTGCGTTGAGCTCAGTTCAAAGTTTAGTTTCAAAGAAACTATCTAAGATATTTTCATCAAACTTTATATACTGACATATATTGATGAGATCTATTTGCAACTGCATGAACGTTTTTACCTTGACCTTTCCTTTGACCTTGACCTCACTTTTCTAAAACTAATGTTTAGCTCAGTTTTAAACATACATGTACCGTTCAGGATGGTGTTATTAAACTTCTCATCTTTTTTTCAACAATCTCTTTGATTTCAAACTTGTGCTAATCGTTTCTCTTTATTAGAACATTTGGTTTTTTACGTTCCCTTAATAAGAAATTGATTCAAAATTGTCATTTGAAATAAAAAAAAGTCGTTTGCTTTATTGTGTTTTCTTTAACATTAAGAAGCCTTGTCATTGCCTCTTCAATTAAAATAAATCATTTGCTTCATACGTTTAGTCAATACATCTTATAGGGTTCGAAATAGTAGTAACCACAAAGTCGAAAGTAAAACATAATAAAGTTTGGTCAGAAACTAACTTCATGTTATATTTTGAAAATTCATGGAAAGAATTTTATACAAGAAACGCTCCGTCGAGCTTTAAAGGAGTTTAGTTTTCTCATATTTGCAGATGGCTAAAATCATATTGCCAAAAAATCCAAGTAGTCCAATTTACCATCATTTTGTACATCTCCCCAAGTTGTCCAACATCGATTATTTTGCAGCCAATGAAACATTTGATTTCGTTTAAAATAATGGAATAATAATAAAAGAATAAAAAAACATAATGAATTTTACTCACCTGTGCTGTTTGACTCGCAGCGTCTTTTGTAAAGGAGAAATAAAACTATGAGAAGAATCACGACTCCGATGATTGAAGAACCAACCCAAGCAATAATTGTTGTGATATCATCATCCGGTTGGAATGCATAGCTAGTGTTTGGGGATACTGACCTGAAAATTAACTTAATACTGAGCAAAGTGTTTATTTTTCAGAGTCCAATAATAGTAGGCCACAAAATGTAGAAAATGCTGTCTAACACTAAAAGTTTCTAAAACAGTAAAGGAAACACTTTACTCATATATTTAACTTTAGTCATGCTATTCCTTAACAGATGTTCCCATTATTATACCTATTGTGACCCGCCCTGTACCCTTGGGTCATAATTTAGAGAATGTAAAATTTACACTACCCCATAATGATTCCACATAAGATTTTTCCTATATATGTCATTGTTAAACTTAGATTCCTTTTTGTGATATCACCTTATCCCTTGGGGTCATAATGTTTACAGTTTAAGATCTACGCTACCACTGGGTGCATCATCATCATTTTCAGCTTTTATGCCCCAGTGTTCCCTTAGAAGATTAAACGATTTTTCCTATATATTTCAATTTTGCGATCAGTTTCCTTATTGTGACCCACCCTACCCCCTGAGATAATAATTTTAGGTCACCTGAGTCATCCAGTGACCTATTGCTTTCCTTATTTGTCCGCCGAGTGTTTTCAGCTACTTCTCTGAAATCACTGAACCAATGGTTTAGCTACATGTATCCATGTATGGTTTGGCGCCATGGTGTTGTGAGGCCCTATATGGTTGGGTAATATACTATAGCTTTATATGGTTGGGCTATATGTACCCATGTATGGTTGGGTACCATGGTGTTATGTCCTATATGGTTGGGCATGTGCTTTAGACCTTAGATGGTTGGGCTATAAGATATGTATCTCAATATGGTGTTTTAATGCCCTATGTGGTTGGGCAATATACTATAGCCCTATATGTTTGGGCTATATGTATCCCAGTATGGTTGGGCACCATGGTGTTATGTTTTATTTGCTTGGGCAATATGCTACAGCGTATAGCCTTATATGATTGACCTATATTATCATAGTATGGTTGGGTACCATGGTGTTATGCCCCATATGTTTGGGCAATATACTATTATGAATAATTGTTATTAATCAATAATGTACACAGTTTACAAAAAGAAAACGCATGGAAATCTATGCACAACTTCCCTAAGCGGTTTTCTGAAAGCAGTATTTGGCGTTTTGGCATCTATTGCTAAAGCTTTCTGATCTGGAATCCAAGAGCAGTAAACTGGAGTCTTGTGATTCCATTTCGAAGCAAATAGATCTATCATTGGTTTCTCCCAAACACTGAAAATCTGATTCAGTACCTGATTGTTCAGAGACCATTCTGTGTGCTGAATCTTTACCCTGGACAGGTGATCTGCTATTGAATTCAAATGGCCTGCTAGATGAGCAGCTTTCAATAAGATATTGTTTTGAATTGCCAATTTCCACAACTTCCAAACTCTTAGACAAAGGGCTGGTGATTTTGTTCCCCCCATTTTGTTTATGAATTGCACTACCGTGGTATTGTCGCACCGAATAAGAACTTTCTGATTTTTCAGATAAGGAAGAAAATACACAATTGACTTGTATACTGCTTCTAATTCTAGGTGATTGATATGAAGAGACTTCTCGTTCTCTGTCCATATCCCTTGATAAAATTTCTTCTCTATGAACCCCCCGAACCCCGAGTTCGAAGCATCTGTTGTGAGGGTAATAGTTGCCTCCCATGGTTGAAGAGATCTGCCCTTTAAAGTGTTTACTCTCTTTAACCACCATTTCAAATGTTCTACAAGGTGTTGAGTAATGGGTACCTGATATTCTAGGTTTCTGGATGATGGTTTCCAGAAATGTAACAAGTGCAACTGAATTGGTCTCATGAACAGTCTGGCATAAGGAATCAGTTCTAGACACGATGCCATTAACCCCAATACCCTCAGAAAATTCTGTGCTGATGACATTTGATTCTCTGAAAGTATTAAGGTTTGAACTGCTAACTCTAAATTCTGAACTCTCTCTAGGGTTGGAAATACTAAACCCTGATCTAGTCTGAATAAACTCCCCAGGTACACTATTTTCTGACTGGGAATCAATTGTGATTTCTTTCTGTTGATTATGAAACCTAGGTGTAACAACAACTTGAGCACTTTCTCTCGATCCATCAATAAATTTTCTCGAGATGAATTGACTATTAGCCAGTCGTCTAGATAAGACACTAGTCTGATATTTTGTACCCGAAGGTAAGCAGCTACTGTTGCTACTATTTATAAATTTGTAAATACCCTTGGAGCTTGCGTTGGACCAAAACATAGAGCTTTGAATTGATAAGCTTTTTCTTGAACACAAAACCGAAGATACTTGCGATGGCTTGGATGCATTGGTACATGTAGATAAGCATCTTTGAGATCGAGAGAAATTGCCCAATCGTTCTTGTTTACCAAATTGATTACTTTTATCAATGTGTCCATTTTGAAATGCTTTTTCACCATATACCTGTTCAGAGGTCTTAGATTTATAATTGGTCTCAATTCCCCCGATTTTTTGGTTACTAGGAAAAATGTACTGTAAAAACCGTTCTGCATTTCCATGCAAGGAACAGGCTCTATCGCACCTTTTTCCGACAATTTTTGAACCTCTTCTAATATAAGAGCATTTGCATTTGTTTTACGTATACCTGTTTGAATTGGGGAATTGAGAAATTCTAATTTTAGACCCTCTTTCAGAGTTTGTAAAACCCATTTGTCGTCTGTTATTTTTTCCCACTGATGATAAAAATTTTGAAGACGACCTCCTACAGGTATGTGGGGACACATTGACATTGTTTCCGAGTCATTGATTTGATTTAAAGTTGCGAAAAGAACTCACTTTATAATTCTTCCTCCTTGATCCTCTGCTCGACTGGCCATATCTGTATCCTGCTGCAGCTCCATAACTGTAATCTGTTGTAGAGGAAGTTCTTTGCCTTTTAGGTTGAGCTTCTGAATAAGTGAAGCTTTTCCTTTTGTAATTGGTTTGTTGAGAAGTGTTCCTATTGTTAGTAGACTTAGACTTAAAATCTGGTAACACTTCAGCCAGTTGTTTATTTCTTTCTGTTTTTGCTTTCAGTCTGTCATCAAACTTATTTCCAAGAACTCCATCTCCTGTCAGAGGAAGTGAAAGAATAGTGGACGCATAGTCTTTATATTCACTAAGCCCTGAATCAAACATGGTGGCTTTGCGTCTAATTATATGATGATAGGCTCCTGCCCTACAGATTTGATCAAGTGTTTTTGTTGACATAGCAAAAATGTCTCTAACAGTTTGAATAGCTCTATCCATATTAGGTTCTTTATCTTGAAGCGTATCCAAAAGGAAACCCAATGCTTGTTGAGTATAACAGTTGGAAATTATAGCCATTCTTGAAGCTACTTGTCCTTGGTAACCCAATTTCTCCACTGCTCTGAGAGATTTGGTATACAGTCCTGGTGAATTGCCAAAAGCCCCCTTCTGTCCATATTTCTTAATGAGTAATGATTCTACCGAGTCATCCAATGAAGGTACATTTAATATGTCCTTACTATCTTTACCTACTGGAAAAAGTGTCTTGTAACTTTCCTTGAATGATGACAATTTAGAAGGATTTTCTGATCTCCAAGATTTGTTGATAATTTCCTTCTGGCTAACATCCAGACACAGTCCAACGTCTGTGTTATCTGTAGGTGAAGCATCAGCACCGAAAAAAATCAGTAAGTTTACTTACATTGTTTTCTTTATTTTCTGTTGTTTTTGCATTAGGCCTAGAAGTGTACTTTGTAAAACGTTCTTTTTCCTCACACAAAACTTCGTCCTGGGCCTCCGATCTGTGAGTGTGACTTTGATATGTCTCATGACGACTTTCTTGATCTAAATCATCTGGAGAATTAAGTAGTGTTCTTCTTTCTTCCCAGCTAACATGAATTGACATGGTGTCGGGGTCTGATACATGAGGCGCATCCGAAATGCCCTCTTGTGTATCACGAAAAAGTAGGCCCGCTGAAACGGCCGAATTTTCTCTGTTTCTCTGACGGTCCGCCTCAGTAGCGTCCATAGAAACTAAATTATGGGGTTCAGAAGTGTTTTGAACATTGTCATTGTCCGTACGGTTCATTAAAAACTGGAAAATTTGATCAATTTTATTATCAATTTGCCCCATTTGTTCTTCCTGACTTGTCAGCCTCGCCTCAAAATCCTCGAATTCTTTTCGGCTGGTCGTTTTCTTCTTTTTACCAGACCTTGTCTTGGGTGTATTAGAACATATTTCATCATTTTCTTCCATCATAGAGCCACGATGGGTAAAGATTTTAAAGATTACAAAAACGATGTCGACTGTTTGGCGCAGAAAAATAAACTGATTAGAGGAAGAGGAAGTAAGCGTGTTAGGACTAATTTGAGTCAGTAAAGCGCTTATTTAAATGCGAGTTGACTGTGGTAAAGGGAGATAAATCCTTATGTATATTTTCTAGGTGGTAAGTAAAACCGAATGAAATGAAATCCTACCGCTGGTAATCTTTAAATCAGGGAAATATGTTTAAATTTATGTTAACCATTAATAATTTTATTTCTGCATAAAACTTTAGAAAATGTACTTGTACCTATATTTACTCGTTGGTTTATAGTATATGTAGATTTTATTGGATAAAGTCATTCCTATGTTGGTTGCAATTGTTGACGGGAAAATGGGGGGGGGGCAGAATGATTAAAATGAAGAAGAAAAGAGTTTATCTGTTTAAATTATTTCTAATCAAAAAAAAAAAAAAAGAACACAAGAAAAACGGGCTGATACTTACATTGTGCTCTTTTATAATTTTTCATGCGAGATGAATTAAAATGATTTTGTCTTCATTTTAAATATACAGGTCATGGAAATTAAATACCTGTTGGTTTCGAATGTGATTTGACATTTTTGGTTCTTTTTAGCGCATAATTGAGGAATCACTGTCTAGTTTTGAGAGTATGCCAGGGCATCAACAATAGTGGGAAACATGGGATAATTTGCATAACGGGCGAAGCCCTTTATGCTAAAATTATCTCATGTTTCCCACTATTGTTGATGTCCCTGGCATACTCTCAAAACTAGACAGTGATTCCTTATATTTCAATTTCATTGTGAAATAAAATTGTAGATGTAGACTATAAAAATGTAGACATAGACTTAAATCACACGAGGACTTCCATGCCATTTTCAATAGTCCTCGCTCACTGTCGTCAATTACAAAGGCAGCCGCACGAGATTTACATGCATATTTGGCCTCAGACACAGAGACAGATGCGCTCGAGATTTGCATGCGTATTAGACCTCCTTAGCTCCTGACCTATCAACCTGCCTAATTTACATTCCGGCAGAATTATTAAGAAATAAACTCCGACAACTTTCAAAGGGTTATCACAGAGAAAAAAAATTAGAAATGGAAATATTTGGAGCATAACAATAATGTCTGAAAATTATCTATTTTTAGCATTTCACATTATTTTTGCACGTGCTCCTGTGTAAAAATAAGCAAGTTAAGGTATAGATTTTAATACTTAAGAATTAAGAACACGTGGTCAGGAAGGAAATGTCAAAGTTTTGAAAATTTCACATAGACTTTTCGGATTTAGGTCACCCCTTAAGTAATGCAGTTATGCTTTACCCCTATCATCCCAAATGTCTTTAAATATTTATTTTAATCCATGGTGTCATTACGTATGATATCTGGTTTCAGAATTCAAGTATCGGTTTGACTTACATCATCAAAGTGCAAATCTTTCAGACCATCTGAATATTTCAGGTCTGCTTTACACAAACCAGTCATTGATTGCTTCAAGGTACAGAAAGAGCTTATGTTCATAAAATTGCTGCACTTTTTTCACCTCCTCCTTTGAAAATTTTAATTTTCCCTAATTGGTATTGTTCCTAAGAAAGAACATGTCCAATTTAGAATCATACAACACTAATCTTTTCATTTAAATATATATACTAAGCAATGATTAATTTTTCTGGATGTATTCTCGATAATGCTCTTAATATTATATTGTTTCCATGGGGAACGTTGCCCTTTTGCAAAATAGATGCTTAATATTCAGCTTGTCGTATATACCAAGTCACAAAGAGGATCATGAACTTCTGGGCTTTCAATGAGGAAGTTTCATATTCTATCATAAGGTTTGCACTTGCTACAAAATTTGTACTTTTTAAAGCTCTACTGAAGTCTTTTAAATGCCAAACCGTAGTCGGCCATATTAGTTTTCGATAACCTTACTATCCGCTAACAGGTATTGCCTAATTGTGTGGTCACGCACGACTGATTTTATCAGTCGGTTTCGATCGCATCGGATATTACCCAATACCTATTTGTAAAATACCTAAGAATTTTTCAATAAAATAAATTTAAATAAAATCTTTCAACCACACATCATTTATATTTATACACATTTACTGACAGAGTTCAAGGGCAACATGCATTTTGTCAGACCCCAAAACCACACTGTCTGCCTGTTAAGCCAAAGGCAGACAGTTTGGTTGGAGGGTCAACAAAACGCATTTTGTCCAAGAACACAGTCAATAAATCTATTGTTCATTTAATTTTTTTTTACATACACGTATTTTGTACTGTCTTTCATGATGTAACATTAGGTCCGTCTCTTTTGAACACCAGCAAATGAAAATGAGATTAAACTCTGCCCATCTGTGATGTAAACGGTCCATCTCATTGACCGGTCCAACACCTCACTCATCAGTCCAACATCAATTTTGTTTTATGCCCGCTCACAAAAACATTAGAAATTGTAGACTTTTTTCTGTAGAAATTTGTATAGGTACCAAATTTTAAAGGTATAACAAACTTTTTTCACATGAGCTTCATAACTGACTTCACAATGCATCACACAACAACATGAACACAATGCATGCATGGATGCAAAACAGTTTGCTTACAGCAGTGAAAGTGGTACATCAATACTATTAATATTTAGTCTTTCTGAGAACCATGGGCAGGAGAAATTTGTTATGTAGACGCTTAGAAGGGTAATAAGAAAATATGTGGTGTCCTCGAAAAAATGCATATTTATTGAGGTATACATATGCATTTTTTCAAGGACTCCACGCATATCTGTATTACCCCTCTAAGTGTCTATCAAACTTATAATATCCACCAATCTCACAACAATCTTACAAGTCTCACCACTCTAAACAAACACACATGACCTTTCACACATTCAACTCCATGAATATGAATTAGATATTTATACATGTACATGTATTTCTAGACATAAAATAATTATTATGCTTCCATTATGTAGATGCCATCACCCTACTAACTCGTGTTCAAATGAAAAATGGCTCAGAAGGAATTCATCAGCATTTCAGGAACTAAGGTGCGTTTTTTTTCTATTTAGTTTTCTATTAATAACTTTTTATATCTCTAAGTCTAAACATATTATTGCATTCATGATTCAGCTTTAACTAGTATGTTATTATTTTAGGAAAATTGTTACAAACAGAGAATGGTGTGGAAGCATGTCATTTTATGTCAACTGTCGCCAAACTTGGGCTATAGAGAACTTTTTTAGCCATACTCTCCTGAGCTATGTTCCTAAAAGAGTGTCTTACAGCTATGACTCCTACAGCATTAGAAACATGTTGGCTGTCATGGACCACAACAACCATCTTCATAGGTTACCAGCAGTAACAGAGAGTGGCTTACCACACGTGTATTCCCACTTTTCACGCAAAACGAAGCAGTGGGTTGCATATGAAAAGAAGACAATTAAAGAATACACATACATTTCAGGTATTAAATTTTACCCAATATTTTGAGTCATTTCAATTAGAATTTAGAATTCTTTGAAACTACATGTATAACAAAAAAAATGTTTTACATGTACAGTATATACATGCACATAACAATTTTTATGTTTGGGAAAACATTTTTTTAACATTCAACTTTCCTGATTACATGTAGTGCTTATACTTACAATGTATTTAATTGAAATTTCTTGTTAATGAAGGTATTCAAGGTAATATCCTAAATTTACTTTTAGAACTTATTGTAAGATGCATGAAGGAAATATATGGAAGCCCTTGTGCAGGCTATACAAGGAGTAAGCAGTCCAAAGATCTTGACAGCATATCTTCCAATTTATAAGGCGTAGCAAATCCTGGTTCAAGGATTTTACTCTCAGAAATGAAAAGCAGAAAAAAGTGTGGTAAGTTTTTAAAAACATATGATTTTATTCAGAGTCTGAATAGGCTGAATGATAGCCTCTGTATGCTCCATCTAGCTGAGGGAACCTCCTCCTCACTGCCACAGTCACACAAGATGGCACTACAACTCTCCTTCCTGCTCCAAGGGGACCATGCTGCCACAAAACAAAATTTCGATAAGCCTGGTTCCGGAAGGTAGATGAGGCAAACGAAGGTTCAAGATTAGTTTGAAAACTCCAGTTCAGAATGTTGGCAATCTCCACCACATCATGCCGCAAACACAGATTTCTAAATTCTGGTTTTGTGGTAATGCATGGAGATTGACAACAGCATAGGTTCATGCGAGGATCCTCAAATACTCTGCATCCTCCACACAAACACCATGCAATTTCTGAACTGGAGTTTTCATACTGTATTGGACCTTGGATGAACGAGCTCATGAGATCTGGTTCTGTCTCAACAGCTCTTTTCAAAACTTGGCGCATATCATGCTCATCCATTTGGGTTACAATATCCTACATGTATAATAATCAAAATGTTTAGAGTGAGAAAAATGAAACATAAGAGTACATATGGTTAATACTGTATGTGTATATGAAAATAATTTTGTCGTAAAATATAATAATGATTCACTAACCCTTTACAAGAAATTTTAAGAAGTATGAAACATTACATAAACATCACTTATTTTTGGTACATACTTGCAATGTTGAAACCAGCTGTGTGTCCTCTCTGTTTTCAGGACTTGCTGCTGCCTCCAGCAAATGATTCCTGCTAGGAAGGTGCCCTCTGCTGACATTACGTGCGCTTTGGCTTGCATAAGGATGGTAACGAGCAGACTACAACAGAAACAGTTATTGTGATATTTTCAAAATACATGTATACCAATTCTGATTTAGGAGGACCTTATCATAGAGGAACGGTGAACATCATAACATTAACAGATAGCCACCATTCCTTTGTGTAGGATAACAATCCATTAGACTTACTTCCTGGGTATTTGTGTTCTCTTTGAATTGACAGCACGGATTCCGGCAATTGGTGCAACCTCTTCTCTTGCATGGACAGCTCTTACATTTTCCTCTGTTTTCACAGGGACAGCACTGCTAAATATAAGTTTTTATAATACATGTTATGATGTACTTATTTTTCATAGCTTAGCTTTACTTTAAAATATTTAATATATTCCTAATTATTTTGAATTGAAATATATTTTTGAAAATAAATTTCAATTTGTCAAAACCATTGAAATATACAATATAGGGTCTACATGTTTCCTTCTCAAAATTTTGGTAACATATGAAAAATCTTATAATTTCAAATACATTGGTCTTCAATTATGTATATTTAGATGTATATGAAACTAATTTGTTAACAGATGTGCATAAAAATTTCATTTTGTTTCCATATTTAACTTTCAGAATTGAAATATGAATATTTTTATTTTAACTTACAGCACCACAATTTTTTTATTATAGAGAACAGTTTTCAATTTATTGTCAGTTACCTAACTTACATTTAATAATCTTTACAATTTCTTTGGGTACTCTTCATGTACAGTTGAAAGTAAATAGTCATGAAATATTGTCAGCACCATGCATTTATTGCTGAGATTTTTTTTTCATTGCCAAACTGGGCATTTTGTTTGTTTCTTTGATACTTTTTTACTTGTGTAATAAAAGATAAAGAGAACAGATTTACCATATTTTTATGAACTTGTTTTAAATAACTGGAATAAAACTATATTTTAAAGTTCAGGAAAACTTCCTATCAACTGATTAAAGATCTTGATTAGTAAGGTTAATCGCACGTGAAGTTTGTCAAATTACCTGCAAGTAAAATATATGCAAGTAATAAATTTTTCATTCAAAAAGGCAATTATTCATTTTAAAACAGTCCTCAAAGTTTCTAAGATGTGTGTGGCGTATGTATGATAAAAAAGTAGGAAATTCTATTATACCTATCTTTTTAGCTCACCTGAGCCGAAGGCTCAAGTGAGCTTTTCTGATCAAAATTTGTCCTTTGTCTGTCGTCGTCGTAAACTTTTCACATTTTTATCTTCTTCTCAAGAACCACTGGGCCAATTTCAACCAAACTTTGTACAAAGTATCCTTGGGTGAAGGAATTCAAGTTTGTTCAAATGAAGGGCCAGGCCCTTTTCCAAGGGGAGATAATTATGAATTAGAGAAAAATTAATGGCATTTTTAAAAAATCTTCTTCTCAAGAACCACTGGGCCAGGAAAGATGAAATTCATGTGGATTCATTATAAGGTAGCGTAGATTAAAGTTTGTACAAATCATGATCCCCGGGAGTAGGGTGTGGACAAAATTGCTGATCAAAGTTTTACATAGGAATATATAGAAAAAATCTTTAAAAATCTTCTTCTCAATAACCACTGGGCCAGGAAAGATAAAACTCATGTGGGATCATCCTCAAGTAGTGTAGATTCAAATTTGTTCAAATAATGACCCCCGGGGGTAGGGTGGGGACAAAATGGCAGATCAAAGTTTTATATAGGAACATATAGGGAAACCTTTTAAAATCTTATTTTCAAGTACTTCAAAGCCAGGCTTCATTATATTTATAGGGAATCATCCTCAGGTAGTGTAGATTCAAGTTTGTTCAAATCAAGACCCCCTGGTGGGTGTAAAATTCAAGCCCCCCCCCCAGTTTACTTTCAGTTCTGATCTGATCTGTGTTTTTTCCTACCCAATTGCTCAGATGAGCGATGAGGCCCCTGGGCAACTTGTTTTTGGTTCTTGGCACAGAATTACATACTCTACAAATAAATGAAACCCCCCCCCCCCCGCAACAAAAAAACTCCATGTTTAAAACTGTGTAATCCTAAGGTAGATTGTTTTTTTTACTTGGGAAATTTTGCTTTAGCTTGTTTTCTTTTGAAATTTATTGAAGGAGTACATTTTTTTATGCAAATACTTCTTTCCCTTTCATTTTACAAATAATTACTGCTCCCCAGTCAATGCTTTGAAACGCTTGACAGTAAACAAACATTTCATTGACCTAGAGTCTGCATGCTTGACCACGCGGTGTCAATCACGTTTGGAAGTGAGCACTTTTATTTGTTTTGCTTGTGTGCTTTATGCATATATTTACTGCAATTCTCTTACATTGGACGCCATGTCGATGTACTCTGGTCTTGTTTCAACTGTATCTTCTTCAAACTTCCCGATAGGTGTGAAACTGCTTTCCAAGGTCACCTGCGCTTCGAGGTATACAGGGTACTTGGTCACCGGACAAATGCATTGACGCGTGACGAAGAATTGGGTGTATACATAGTCAGAACATAACAATAGAACACGAACTAATATGGCGTCTTCGATGAAATATGGCGGCTATTTGTTTACATCCACGGCTATTTTATGATGTCAGTAGAGCTTTAATATTGAATTTCACACAGTGGCTATGGAAATACATTGCTGTCTGATGAATTAGAGAAATTAAAACAAGCTAAACATACGCAATGAAATTCAAACAAACAGTCTGCATCGTAGTACAATGGTTACATTAAAACATATAAATCTCCATATGCAGGTGATTCTTGGGTAATGGGTATTGTCTCTTCGAAGAAAAAAGGATATAGAAAGTTCTAGGGATCTTAATTGGCCAAAAATGGATTACAGCATTACCCTCTGGAATTATTCTCAATTGTTTTAGTTGTTGAACTATGGGACTCATTAAAAAATTCATTCACCAGATCTACTTTCATGCCTAAGAGCATTATATATTAAATAAGGTCTTGTAGATATTTAAACATACCAATTTATAGTTTACATCTCTCCAAGCACAGCCTGTATTTTGTTATACATATATACAGCTGTAGCTCCTATTGCAAAGTGTACATATTGTATAGGCATGCTCTAAATTGTTTTAAGGGTTTCATTCAGAGTGATCAATTTATCAAATGCATTAAAGATGTCTCCTTGGGACAGATTTATATGTCTTATGTCTAACATGTACCTATTCAGTTTAGGAAAATTATCAAAATCTATTTCACCTGGCAGCATGGATGAACCATTTTTCAATGCCAAATACCCCCTATTTCTTGAACCAGTTATTCATCAGCAAAATATTAAGTAGTTCTAAAAAGCTGATGCAGTCAACCTATTACTTTTAATATTCGAAATCACGGCTAGAGACTCAAACCAATGCTTGCTACTTTGATGAAATATTCTTTTTCCGGCATGACAAAAAAGAAGTTTAAAAGATTCTTACAATGAATCAACTTTTAATACAATTTAGGTAAAATAAAAGTTTATCTAGAAATAGATTCTCAACCCAAATTGCAGTTTTGGTGCTGTGAAAGTATGTGAAATTAGCTGTAAAGGACTCCCTCTATGCTACAGCAGCTCCTCGGGCACATTTTCAGGGTTTCAAGATTCACAAAATGAGAGACATGGGATGGTTGCAACTGGTGTCATTCCAGAGATATATTAGGGTGCCAATTTTCCAAGCATATTGGTACATAGATATTTTCGTTTAGGGTGGTAGAAAGTCCGATTGTAGAGGAAAAATGGGTGAGATAGTATCCTTTATTCTGTTTCTGTATTATCTAAATGCATTTAATGTCAATGGGATTCTGTCTGAGGCGGTATTCTTTTTTTCTGCATCCTTTTAAGATTTGAATTTTAAATACAATAATCTCATATACATGTCCATTTCATGATTTAGATAGCATTTTTATGCAGGAGAAAGCTTGACGTTGCATAATTTATCTGTCTTTACTTTTTACTACACTTACATGTACACGAAGTATTCGGTGACTATCTGAGGTGGCATTGAATATATTCGCCGTTGAGTATCATATAGATGTTTTGTGTAAATATTTCGTATCACTTTGGATTATTTAAATGCTTTTGTCAAGGTATGAAATAATTCTATTCCTGGTATGTGCGTTAATGACTTTTGACTTGTGTATGGATTGTGGAATCATAACGCACTACGAATAGAAGGTTAACTAGTGAGATATATTGATATTTGCTTGAACTTTTGGAACATTTCCATTATCCCTCCCATGTGAAGCAGGCTGTGCAGCTTCATTTTACATGGACGAAAACGGACAAAACAAGACACCGTCAACTCCCCTAAGACTGTCATTGTTGTACATAGCAGGACTATATCAAACATAGGTAAATACGTACAAAATTGCGTTTTTTTTATCAATCACTATTTTGTGTGAACACTCTAAAAAAGTTTTACTTGATGCTTTTAAAATAAGATATTAGATTAAGAAAAACTAGTAATTATTAGTAATCCATTTAATCAGAATAGCAAGTAAATGACTATCATTGTTAGTAATTGTAAACATAATTAGTAATAAGGATGAATTCATTTACTTATAAAATGATTTACAAAGTATCAATACTTAATAGGAATTATATTACTGTGGAATCACAAATTTCCGTGGGGTTTAATTTTCGTTGTTTTCGTGGTATGACAAGACCCACGAATTCATGTCCTCAACGAAATGTAAAATTTCACACACATAAGTACTCATTAATTCTTGATCCACGAAATCAAATCCCCACGAACCAAGAAATATTCATCAAACCACGAAAAGGACAAGATAGGGTAACAGCCGAATTTTTTAAATAAAAATCAGAACGCTGATAAAACTGTGATAGTTTGTAGTTAAGAAGTTAAAATGATGCTTACTTTAAGACAAGCACTTGCCTATCTGAGATTTTTACACATATACTGCATCTGATATCAGTGTATAAAATATATAAATTTGGTAAATAGGCAAGCGTGTGCTCTATGTTTTCCGAAAGAAAATGTGCTGTAAAATGAGTGAAAATTTGCATAAAAATGAGAAATTTCGAAAATTGACCTATTTCCTGACCTCACTGTGACCTCTGTATATTCTTAATCTTAAAACCAGTACTCATTTTGTGGCAGGGGTGAAAACAGGTTTTCATGGATAAACTGTTGGATCATTCTGAAAGACACCCAAAATCGGGGGCCAAATACTGGTCTTACCCTATCTTGTCCTTTGACCCCACGAAAATATGTGATTTTACAGTACTTAGTAAATGAACTACTCATTTTTAGTAAGTCATTCTTACTTAATTTAGAGATAATATGCTTTCTATTTACTAGATTTTATAAATTATTACTTTGTAAATATGCTTTCTATTTACTAGATTTTATGAATTACATGTATTACTAAGTTAATGTTATTCTAAAATTAATAAAAATCTAGAATATTTTTACTTAGAAGAATACTTAGAAAATGAAATACTTATCATATTTACTAAAATCGACATTATGTCTTTGTTATTGTTTTATTATATTTAGCAATAAAACATTTAATTCCAACATCAAAGCCTTCTAAATTTAATAATTTATATATTTTTAAGGACCATTTTAAAAATTGTATAAAGTTTCAAGTACTTATTGCAGCATTTTAATTAGTATAACTTTTTTATATGAAGGAATATTTGGAAGAAAGATAACTCCTCCTTACAGACAATTAAAATGAAAATTTAAGAATTCAATCCTGATAGTAATAGACTACCATTTTTAAGTAATTATTTGTATTGCAACTGCTCTGAATTCTCCTTGATTCAGTAAATAAATTATTGTTTTAAGTAAATCAATTGAATACAATTCAAACAAGATTTGTTTGTGAAACACTTATGCCCCTCCCCCCATGTGGCAACATTTCAAAAGTTTAACTTTTCTCATTTGCAAATCCAATTATTGGTATTAGTTATGGGCAAGGTTAAAGTTTTTGCAGACAAACAGAGAAACAGACAGACAGAGAGACAGACAGATGGACACGACAAAAACTATATACCCCTGAAACTTCGTTTACGGGAGCCAAAAATATCATTTATATACAGTGCACCATCATTTATCCGGACACTTTGGTTCCCATTCAATTTGTCCAGATATGTGAAGCATCTGGATATCTTAATCACCAGTTAAACAAGACAGAATAACATTCGTTCCGATGAAAAATCGTCCGGATACTGAAACATCCGGATATCTGGCGTCCGGATATCTAAGGGTTCACTGTGTAGGAATTAAAATAAAATCTGATATTTTTTTTCATTATAGTATATACATGTGTAGTAATTAGACTACCAGACTTAAGTAATTTGTTCTGCAGCTACCCTGAATCCTCCTTGATGCAGTAAATAATTTACAGTTTTAAGTAAAACAATTAAATATAGCAATTAAAAAATATTTTAGTAATAGCTAGTAATTAGTGGTAAACTGAAAATAAAAACCAAGTAATATGTTATTACTTACATACACAATTTAAGTAAATATAAATTACCGAGTAACACTTTTTTAGAGTGAATTTATGGTTTCCGAAGGGATTTTTAGGGTTTTCCCTTAAGCGCCCTCCAGCTAATAGCCTTATTCTTATCAAAATTCCTTTTTGCTCTAAAAATGTGGTTTACAAATTCTACCCACCTCCATCCCCTAAATCCTCCATATCTATTGTTATTGTACAGAATACAAGAACTAGTTTCTTTTGTATAAGGTGTCTATTGTTCTTGTTGTAGAAAATAAAAATGTGCATGTATGTTCTAGTTTTCTTTTGTATAAGGTGTGGGAAATGTTTTAGGCCCCAACATCTGCTGCATTCTGAAACTGTTAAATACGTAATCTCATTTATTTGGCATTCTTACACACACCCTATTTATTATTTAACATGCTGTAGAACAAAGCTGCAAATGTGCTTCTCATTCATATGAACCCAATTGTGCATCAATTTCAGTATTTAAGAGCACATAATTGGTGTAATATTATCCTCTGGTTGGTATATATACAGACCCTAAACCGTGCTACTACACCACTTGACTGGTACGGTTTGGTACGTTTTCTTCACGGAACGGTACGCTTTGTGGACGGTACTTTTCGTTTCCTGCACGTTACGGTTCGTTTTGTGAACGGTACGCTTTGGGAAACGATATGCAAGTGAAGTGGGCGGAGCCTATTAGCTTAATATCTTGCTTGGCTGCTAAAAATTATTTCATTTTAAATTACTTTTGAAGTAATTCATACAGGTATAATTATAATAATATTCCGTTATGCATATATATGAATGCATACTTACAGCAAAAACGAACTTATATCTGATAAGATTCAACGATTTAAACTAGAAAAATAAAAAAAAAAGTAGAGACAGTTAAGGAATAAAGTCATGAAACCATGCTCTATCTTAGTGTTATTATAATCTATTCAAAATTTGTTTATAATCATATCTACAATGAGTTTAGGATTATGAAACATGATTGTACATGTACACATTTTAAGAATGTTTTCCCCGGGCACGAACGCTATTATATTTGATTTTTGGGCATCTTATAATATTAGCTCAAATATATGTATAGTTAAATTACGAAGTAATACTAGTGTTTGACAGAATTTGCTAATATACAGAAAATGAAAGACTTCAAAAACATTGTTCGAGGTCCACTGTGCTTCTTGCGTGTTTTGCAGGGAAAACTGGTGGCCTGTACAGTACTTTTGACCACAAACACAACCAGATAAACTTATTTATAGCAAATAAGGATTAAGGAATCGTCTCAAACTGTAGTTGTTTTGAGGTTGTTGTTTGTTTTGAGTACTTTCCATATTTTACAGTTGAAATCCCATAATTATGCATGATACTTGATAATGGTACTTTGAACAGCTAGACACAACGTCTTACCTCCTTCCCATAGCGAGAAATGAACCAAAATGACTTACTTTGTCATTGCAAAGTTTGAAAATCATTGGGGGCGTGGTTTGCATAGTTAACAAAAGAATAGAACGCTTCGTTTCTTGCACGGAACAGTTAGCTTTGTGGACGGTACGGTACGCTTTGTGCACGAAACAGGTTTGTTTCTGAGGTGTAGTAGCAAGGTTAAGGGTCTGTAGCTAGCGTTTTGCGATATTGTCCTGGACGTTAACTTGATTTTTAGCATCTTGTTTCTTTTTCAGAGTCCAATATTTTACTGTAAGCATAATTTATGCAATGCTGCCTTACACTAAAAAATTTAGAAATGTAAAAGTGTCCTACATTGAATCACTGTGGCAGTTTTCTCTTGCCAAATAGCATCTTTTCTCTGGATTTATTTCTAAACAGGCAGGATCTGAAACATAGAATCAATGAAATACTAATGCAATGCGATCAAATTAATACAATTTTTTTCATTTATATTTCGTATAAAAATATGAATTACATTTGTACACTTCATCTGTATTGTAGGATTCCTCTGGACAACCACTGAGAAACGTTGAGCAGTTTAAGGCGTCCAGGTGTCCAGTAGATACAGCAAAAGGGCACAAATCTTAAGATTGGAAAAAAAACATATTTATGTAAATTTATACATTTACAGCAGTAAAATAGAAATCAATTAGAATATTGTTTGATTATATTCAAGTACAATGTAGAATAGGCTGACTCACTAGCTCCATATCTACCAATACTCCCTTGAAGACAAAACTCGACCAGTGACGATCTGTCATCATTAGGTACACACTGGTACAGGTTCCTCCCTAGTGTGTCATTGGGACACTGTAACTTGATGCCATTGCTCAGCCACAAACTGGCGTTTGTAGGACATGACGTCACTGGCTTTAACTCCACGTTCATTTCCTAAATAATCAATTTTATTAATCTTTATCAATAATTTTATTGAGATTACCTAAGAAATATGAAGAAAAAATAAATTTATATTTAAGAACCTGCCATTTTTTAAATAGCTACAATCTTATTGTAGCAAAGCACACGGAAACACACATGAATAGGTCACATTTAATACCCAATTTGATATTACATCCTCTGCAAAAAAAAAAATCATAATTAATGTCCCCTGTGCTTGGAACGAAACAAAAATGCCTTTCAATGATTTATTTTAAATGATATCACTTAAATATTCTGTTTTAATTTAAACACATGTCCTTTAAATTGTTATTCAATTTCTGATTCCCTTTTCTTTTAAGGTTCATTGTTTACCCATCTATAAACCAATTTGTTTTATCAAAGGAAATATAATAGGCCTTTGCTTAATATTTTCGAGCCATTTTCGATGGAATAAAATGCACTTGAGTTGAAGAATGAATCATACACCGGATGTCATTCTTTTGAGGCAATTTTTAAAAGATCTTATTCATTTTACCTAACTGTTCACGACCCATTGCATTAAAAAGTTTTTTTCAAAATCACATTTATTTGTTGAAACAGTAAATATTGAAACTTACAGAAAATGATACATTATTTAAACAACACATTGCATTATTTAGTGATATTTCTTGGCAGCGGCCTACCTGAGACAGGAAAATATAAGAGTTATAAAATCAACTGATGAAATGATAAGAAGGATATGAAAATAACGAACAGTATTCAATCTCAATGTCCATTAAACAAATATACAAAATAAGAGCAGAGCAAACAAATCAACCTTTAAATATAATTTACGCCATTAGAAATAAACTAAATTACTAAAACAAATATGTGCAAAATTGGTGACAATTTTCACATATTTTTACACATGTATGTAAACGGTAGGAAAAGCGTTTTAAGGCACTCTAATTAAACAAATGACGCTAGGATAAAAAAAATGAAACTTTTAAATTCTTGTTTAATTGCTATAAAAATGTATGACATGCATGATACTATCCTCTCTCTCTCTCTCTCTCTCTCTCTCTCTCTCTCTCTCTCTCTCTCTCTCTCTCTCTCTCTCTCTCTCTCTCTCTCTCTCTCTCTCTCTCTCTCTCTCTCTCTGTATGTCTCTCTCTCTCTCGTCAGATTTCCAAGTGAGTTAAAATGTAGAACCAAGCAATGCATCTTTTTACTAGTTTTCCTCAGAATAAATGGTTAAAAGATCAATTGAAAAAAGGGTTTTCTTCTACCTCTTAAAATTTGACATATGTGACCTTATTATTTTATTTTTATTCATTGCTGTTTTTTTTTTATTAAATGCACTCCTCAATGAAAAGGGGTGTGAGCAGTTCATTTGATTTGAAAATAAATATACTTTTAAAAATTTAAATCAAAGTAAATTTTGAATTTTGGTATTTATGCCCCCCTCCCTTAGTTTAATATCGATAGTACACATTACAGTAAAATAACAAGTTGTGCTATATTATGTGTCTATATCTGTTAAATGTCATGTTTACCTCCTGATAACGAATATAACGTTCTTTTAAAAGTCAGGTACAGCAGTCTGATTTAAACAAATCCTTGATAAAAATCACTGAATTTGATAACTAACGTAACGTTCGTATTCTTTTTTTGTCCCGATAAACATTGTACAATCTTAACAAAATTGATCTTACATGTACATAATATAGATTCCTTAATTTTCTTTGTGATTTTGAACCCTTAAAAATATGTGTTCTTATAAGTTAATTTACTTATTTTATTTTTTAAAATATTTACGTTGAAACAAATAGGAGTACCTGACTAGAGTTATTTACCTTTTAACTTCCTACCATGCCTTTTAGATATCAAAAACAGAATTTCAGACTTTAAAGTAAATCAATAAGGCTACTTGCCATTGCTTATTTTAACGCTTAATCGTCACTCGATTCTGATGGGGCAGATACAACAAATATATCCACCCTTTCTCTTTGAACGAAGGAAATCCTAATTTCAAGTAGCTTCGTTTTAAATCACACAGGAGGATTTTTACTATGGGTAGGCCTCAAGGTCACCTGGCGTCATAAACATGAATATTCATGATGACAATGTTTACAATTTCTTCCGGAACAACACAATGAATATTATATGTTTAATGCGTATAAGAATAGAAAATTACTATGTGGACAATCGGCTGCTGGAACGTGAATTGATTAAATATTTAATTAGGAATTAAAATAAATAAATTGGTGTAAAATAGTTTTATCTTTGACGAATATATGTTTTTTTTTAAATGGATCCTTGTATACAATAGTTATTATGAATTCCATGCTAAAAAAATGGCTAAATACAAATGTTTTATTGTAAACATTAAGTTTAATGTTCTTGAAAAAAAATGTATAGTAAGTGATTTAATGTATCAATTAATGCATTCCATTTTTTTTTTTTGTTTAAATATCTAATTAGAACTTAAAATAAAAAAATAAATTGGTGTTAATTAAATACTTTTTACTTGATAGTTTGTGTATAGTATATGATTTAATTAATAAGTCATTGTACTCCTCGTGTTTTTTATTTTTATATTTGTCCTTTTATTCTAAATATTTCAAAGAAAAAGTAAAAAAAAATCATGAAATATATTAATGTATATATAAGGAAATTTATATTATATTATTTTTATTAACAGTGTTTCTATCTGGTTAAAGACACAAAGCATTCCAAAAGGTTTTAGATTTCTGTCGCTCGTATCTTTGATTATTTGAGTTCTTTTAAACCATTAGATATTGGAACATTTACAAGTCATTAACACATATTCTAGATTCTACACAGTTCTATTTTCTAGTGCCTTGCCCAGGGTGAGTACTTTAAGTAACCACCAAGATAAGTAAAAGTTCTAATGCTAAGTCAGTCTTCTGAATTAAATTCACTCTACTTTATCCTCTTAACTTCTGTGCATTACACAGGGGTTTATTGCTATGCAGGGTCGAAAATGTCGTAAGATAGGATCGGGGCTTGGTAGAACCGGCGTAACTGAAATGGCGATATCAAAGGATGTACTATACGAGGGGTGTTAGAAAAGTTCGCGGACAAGTTCAATGGTGAGTGCACTATTTCCACGAAACCGGTTAAACCAGATAGAATCTTTTCCGATAAATATACAAGAAAATTTTGCTCTCCGGTGATTATTAAAAAAACATACAGCTTTTTTATTTTGATAAAACTTGCTTCACGGAGCATTCTACATTTTGGCACCTTTACATCAAAAAGACCCTTTATCAAAGTTAAAAATTGCACAATTGTAGCACAAAGAGATTTATGATATTTTACCTGCCGCTTAAGTATTCATGAAACGTCACTAAGAGAAATTTTGAACTACCGTATATACTCGCCTATAAGTCGGTCCGCCAATAAGTCTGTTGTATTTAATTAGCTTATATTTCAGAAGGACTGACCTTATATAATACCATTGATTTGATAGCTCGCCTATAAGTCGGATACAGAGTTTTGGACCTGACTCCCAAAAAACCGAATTATAGGCGAATATACACGGTAAATTGGAAGGAAAATGTCTTATAGCCGTTTGTATATGATCATTGCATAAAAACACAGCCAAAAATCGGAACGTCATTGAGCATGGAACACTGCACTACGTACAAATCATGTATGTAGACTGAAAAATGTCTAAAAAGAGATTGAAATGTTCAAGATGCTGCCGTGAATTTCGTACACCTACAAAGAAGATGTTTTTAAAAAGAAATGTAGCTTCATAGGAATGGAGAGATTGACATTTTGAAAGATTAACTCCAGCGATACTGCATGGTTACTGACTCGATTTCAATTAATTAATTGGTCACAAAGTAAGCACTTGCACAGTGTAGGACAATTTTATATGTAGTTACTTAACGAGAGCCTCTGTAGTTTTGAGCACTTTTTTCTTGATCTTCTGCTATCTGTCTCCGATGTTATTACATTCAAAGATAACCACAGGGTTTCTAATGAACCATTATCATATATATATAACTTCAATGAATTCCAATTCTGCAATGAAAATGTGTTCGACAGTGTTAATGGACCCTTTTTGTGTTTGCAGTACGTTCTTTCTATCCAATACTAGTGTAAAGACACAGGGAACATAGATGAAAAACAAAAAAAAAATTACAATTTAAATATAGAAGTTCTTGTACCCTAAAGTCAATTGGCAAGAATTTAAGGGGGCTCTCTACACCTATAAAGTAAAAATGATTTTTGTTGCATGAATTTGTTTCTAATAATAGGCCCCATATCCGATAAAATAAGGTTCCAAAGTTTTTCAATTTATTTTTTAGAAATATTTGAAATATTTTATTAATTTTCTTAAAATCCTTTCTATCTGTATTTTTAAAAGCCCGGTGCTTTAAATTTCTATTCAAAGTTTAGTGTTATAAAATATTGAAATAATAACCAACAAAGATAAAAATAAAATTAACATAATTTTTATTCAAATTTACAAAATTAGACAAAAGAAAAACT